AGTAAGATGCCATGGGCTGTGCATTCCTTGTTTTCTGTTGCTCTTGGTGTGTCTCCACAAGGACAAATCTGTTGCTGGTGCTGCTGCTCAACTACTGCTGCTGCTACACTGCTGCTGCTACTGCTACTGCTGCTGCTACTGTTGCTACTGCTGCTACTGCTGCTCCTGCTGCTCCCGCTGCTGCTGTTTGTGTCTTACCCTAAGACAGCCTCTCCTTTGCATCGTACGTAGTCCTCAGCTAGAAGTCTTGATAAGCAAATCAATGCCATCTTCCTTAGAGGCGCCAGCGCCATCGTGCTGCTGCTGCTGCTGCTGCTGCTGCTGCAGCTCGTTGCTGCTGCAGAAGCCAAGGCATGTGCTGCTGCCTGCTGCTGCAGAGCTGTCTCCCCTTCTCTTGAGGCAATCGCAGAGACAATCAGAGGAAGCACTTTATCCGTTAGCTGCCCATGGCGCTGCAGCACATCGCTCAGTACCTGCAGCAGCAGCAACAGCAGCAACAGCAGCAACAGTAGTAGCAAGGTGGGTGGCACGGTAGCGCAGCTGCAGCAAGAGTAAAGGCTGCAGGGGAAACAGCAGCAGCACCCGGCAAGCATATGGAAGCAGACGCAACAGCAACAGCCGTTGCAGCAGCAATAGCAGCAACAGCAGCAGCAGCAGCAGCAGCAGCAGCAGCAGCTCACCACTACGGCATTGAGGCGGACCATCGGTGGTTCGTGCTGCTCCAGCTGCGCAGCGACGAGCTCGACGGCTAGCTGCAGCAGTTGCTGCTGGTGGTGAAGTGGCGGCTTGCTGCCCTTTGCTGTTGCTGCTGCTCCTGATGCAGCAGCAGCAGCAGCAGCAGGAGTGCTGTTCCTCCTTCGTTGACAACCTAGATGGGTCTCGCTGCTTCCTGCAGCAACAGCAAGTTTGCCTAACACATGAATAGCCAGTGTCCTTACACGCAGAGGCAGTGGCTCAAATATCTGCTGCTGCTGCTGCTGCTGTTGCTGCTGCTGCTGCAGCAGCGGCGTCAGCCTGCGTCTCTTGTTGTTGGGTTCGATTTCTCCCCCTTCTGTTCTTAGAGGACGAAAAGGAGACAATGCAGAAGCAAGAAGAGCAGCAGCCTGGGGAGACTCCGTGTTGCTGCTGCTGCTGCTGGTGCTGCTGCTGTTGCTGCTGTTGCTGCTGCTGCTGCTGGTGCTGGGCACCTCGTGTCTTGGAGACGAAGAGGCTTCACACCAAGAGGGAGATGCAGCTGCTGCTGATGTGCTAGAAGCAGTAATGGACAACAGCCCTGAGTCGTCCAGGCTACCCTCCTGCGGCTGCTGCTGTTGCTGCTGCTGCTGCAGCAGCAACTTTTGCTGCTGCTGTGACAGAGCCGAAAGAGCGACTCTTTGAATGGCAGAGGGAAGTTTGTCAAGGACAAGCGCCTGCAGCAGCAGCAGCAGCAGCAGCAGCAGCACAGTGGGGACAGCACCATGAAGAGCAAACTGGCTAGCAGCAGCATAAACAAAGAGAGAGCAGCAACAGAAGCAGCAGCAGCAGCAGCAGCACCGACCTGTACAACCTTTGCTACATCATCGTCCAGCCGCAGCAAACCCATCAACGCCAACTCCCCAGCTAACGTTAAATATCTGCAGCAAACACAGCAGCAGCAGCAGCAGCAGCAACAGCAAAGATAGCACAGATGCAGCAACGACAGCAACAGCAGTAGCACTACCACGAAAGACGGACACAACAGCAAATGCAGCAACAACAGCAGCAGCAGCTGCTGCTGCCGCTGCTGCTGGCAATGGGCGCACCTGCAGAAGACTTCGTCATCTGGAAGCAGCAGCAGCGGCTGCTGTTTATTTGCTGCTGCTTCTTGTACTGGTATTATTGCTATTGCTGCTGCTGCAGGATTGGCTGCTGCTGGTGCTGCTGGTTGTCCTGCTGCTGCTGCTGCATGAAGCTGTAGAGACACCGTAGCTCTGCCTATCATCTCCTTAAGAAGCCTTTGTAGGCCTTCCCTCGTGTGCTGCAGCAGCACGTCTGTCCAGCTGCCCCCCACCCCTGCTTCCTGCTGCTGCTGCTGCTGCTGTTGCTGCTGCTGCTGCTGTGGGGAGGTAAAGGCCCCGGTGTGGGGCAGGTAAAGGAGACCTTTAGAGACAGCAAAGAGTGTAGAGACAGCAGGAGCTATAAAGTTAACAGGCAGCAGCTGCTGCGACAGCAGCAGCAGCAGCTCAGCAGCAGCAGCAGCACGAGTTGCTCGAGACGCAAAGGCAGCAGAAGAAGCAACAAGACCTAGCAGCAGCAGAGCTTTATCCCCTAAGAGCTCGTCCTGCTGCTCCTGCTGCTCCTGCTGCTGCTCCTCCTCCTGCTGCTGGTTTTGAAGAGGCTGAGGGTCTTGCTGCATGTCCTGCTGCTGCTGCTGCTGCTGCTGCTGCTGTTGCTGCTGCAGCGCTGCAGCAACTCGGCGCCACGCAGCAAACGCTGCTTCGGCAGCTTCCATTGTCTGCTCACTAGTGTTGTTGCTGTTGCTGCTGCTGCCGCTGCTGTTGCTGTTGCTGTTGCTGTTGCTGTTGCTTGCAGGGTTCATAAGGTCTCCAGATGGGGAATTGGCCCAATCGAAGAAACCCTGAGAAAAGACAAAGAAAACAGCAACACCCCTTACTGCAGCAGCAGCAGCAGCAGCAGCACAGCAGCAGCAGCAGCGGATAGGGAGCGTGTACTGACCTGTAGCTCAAGGAGTCTCCTTATTGCAACACCAGGAGCAGCTAAGCTACGCATACACCCCGCTAGGCGATCAGCAGGCATTCCTCCCCTGTAAGAAAACCACAAACCCTAAACCCTAAACCCTAAACCCTAAACACTAAACCCTAAACCCTAAACCCTAAGTTAAGACGAACCTCTTAATGCAGCAAAAGAAATAAAATTGTCTTAGGGTCTCCAGCTGCTCATCAGTAGAGCCACATATAACCAGGTCTGCTGCAGCCTCTGCTGTTGCTGCTGCTGCTGCTGCTGCGCTGCAGCTGCTGCTTCTGTTGCTGCTGCTGCTGTCGGTAAGAAGCAGCTGCTGAGCAGCCTCGAAGGCTTTTTCTCTAACCATGGGCTCCTCGTCAGCTGCTGCTGCTGCATGCAGCACGAAGTCTCTCCATGCGCAGCAGATGCTGCTAGTCAGAGAAGCAGCAGCAGCAGCAGCAGCAGTCGTTGCAGTTGCATCTGTTTGCTGCGCCTGCACAAGCTGTTGCTGCTGCTCCTGCAGCAATCCCTCTTGCCCATCCCTCGGCAGCTCTGCCAGCTGTCCCCTCTCCCCCTGCTGCTGCTGCTGTTGTTGCTGTTGCTGCTGCTGCAGTAGTTTGTGTACAGCTGTAGCAGCAAATACATGCAGAGCAGCAACAGCCTGTCTCCTTACAATAACTGAGGTGTCTCTGCACCTCTCGCTAATTTGTCTCCATCCTAATAAACTAAATAAACCCCATACACAGGGAACTGCAGCAGCCCTTTCTGCTGCTGCTGCTGCTGTTGCTGCTGTTGCTGTTGTTGCTGCAACTGTTGCTGATGCGGCTGGCGCATCCTCTGTCATTGTCTCAGGAGACTCTCCAGCAAGAGGGGACACCCCGTGAGCAGGCTGTTGCTGCTGCTGTTGCTGCAGTTGCTGCTGCAGCTGCTGCAGCAGAGGTAGATGTTGCAGCAGCAGCGGCAGCAACTGCTGCAGTGCGAGCAACGCAGCACGACGTACGACCGTCTTGCTGTGCTCTAAGCAGCTTCTTCTTAGTCCCTCAAAGACAGAAGGCTGCAGCAGCAGCAGCAACAGCTGCTGCTGCTGCTTCTTCAAATCAGAAACTGCTGCTGCTGTTGTTGCTGCTGTTGTTGTCGTTGCTGCTGCTGCTGCTGAATCTGCTGCAGCACGCAGCAGCACACCGCACACAGAGGGCAGCGCCTCTATTGCTTTTGCTCTTATAAGAGGTTGGCGATCTGCAAGTGCTGCAGCAAACGGCAGCAACAGCTGCTGCAGCAGCTGCAGCAGCAGCTCATCAGTACCCTCGAAGAAAGGCCTTAGGAGACACTTGTTTGTCTCTGCTGCTGCCTTTTCCCCCTCTCGTGTGTCCCTCCTGCTGCAGCTGTTGCTGCCATTGTTGTTGTTGTTGCTGCTGCTGCTACTGATTGCAGCAGCAGAAGAGTGCAGCAGCTGCTGCAGCAGCTCAACCCCTAGCAGCCGATGACCTAAACGAGATGCATGCAGCAGCGGGATTAACACAATCAGCAAGAAACGCTCAATTACACTTTGACGCCGCTGCTTCTGCTGCTGCTGCTGCTGTTGCTGCTGCTGCTGCTCCCCCTGTTGCTGTTGCTGTTGCTGCTGCTGTTGTTCAATATGGTGCAACAGACTTGTGCTGTCGCCCAGCTGCAGCAGCCGCTGGTGCTCCTGCAGCTGCAGCTGTTCCTGCACGATACAGCACCTAAGGATGACCAAACAGGTTGCTGCTGCAGCAGCTGCTGCTGCTGTGCTGCTGGGGAGACACGCGAAGCAAAAGTGCGCTAAGAAGGCAATGATAGGGTCGCCAGCTAGCTGTCGCTGCTGCTGCAGCTCTGACAGCCGTGTGGCTTCTGCTGCGCTGGGTGCAGCAGCAGCAGCTGCTGCTGCTGCTGCTGATGATGATGATGTGCCTATTGTATCGTAGCCTTCCCCTGCTTCTTCGTCAGTAGCAGCAGCAGCTGCTGCTGCTGCTGCCGCCGCTCGGATCTCCTTTAGATCTTTTCTGCGGGCCTGCTGCAGCAGCACAGGGTGCAGCAGCAACTCTGGCAGCAGCAGCTCGCCGCAGCAGTTAACTACCCGCACAATGAAGGCGACCAGCTGCTGCTGCTGTTGCTGCTGCTGTCTTTGTTGCTGCTGCTTCTGTTCATTGCCAACAGCAGTTGCTGCTGTTGCTGCTGCTCCAGCTGCTGCCTCGTTTGCTGCTGCTGCTGCATCAACATCAAACTGCTGCTGCTGATGCTCCTGCAGCAGCCTAGGTAATGCTGCCAGCAGCAGATCGCTTGCTGCTGCAGCAAGGCAATCAACATGCGGCCCTGCTTCGTAGAGAGGCAGCAAGAAAAATACCTGCTGCTGCTGCTGCTGTTGCTGTTGCTGCTCCTGCTGTTGCTGCTGTTGATCCACATCCTGCTGTTCATCCTTTGCATTAAGTTCGTCGCTGTCTCGAAGCTGCCGTTGCTGCTGCTGCTGTTGCTGCTGTTGCTGCTGCTGCATGTGCATGGAGCGTAGTTCCTTAACGCGGAGCAGCAGCAACAACGGCAGCAGCAGCAGCACTTGCCTGAATAGACACACCACACTGCTACACTGCATGCATCAAGCACTGCTTACCTATACATTAGGGTTTAGGGTTTAGGGTTTAGGGTTTACCTAGGGTTTCCGTCAGTCTTGCTTAATAGATCCATCGTCCCTCTTAGCAGCAGGCGCAGCGCCTCTCTGTTGCTGCAGGAGGACAAAGTTTGGTGCTGCAGCTGCTGCTGCACCACCAACAGCTGCAGCAGCAAAATGTCTATCAGCGAGGGGACTTGCTGCTGCTGCAGCCACGGGAAAAGACGAGCGCGCTCTTGCTGCATGTCGTTGTCCTGCTGCTGCTGCTGCTGTAGGCGCTGCTGCTGCTGCAGCTGCTGCTGCCAAGGAGCGGCCCTCGCCTGTTGTTGTTGCTGCTGCTGCTGCTGCAGCTGCCGCAGCACCAACTTCAGCGCCTCTCCATCTAGCTGCGGCTGCTGCAGCTCTTGGCAGTCATTCACCTGCAGCTGCAGCACGCATGCAAAGCGCAGCAGCAACAGCAGCAGCTAGCTACAAACAGCAGCAGCTACCTATCTACAGCAGCATTCAGCTGGCTACGAACACACAGCTAGCTGCTTCTAACTGCTGTTGCTGCTGCTGCTGCTGCAGGTGCTGCTGGTGCTGGTGGTGCTGCTGCTGGCGGTGCTGCTCACCGATAAGAACCGCAGGTAGGCTATTGCAGCAACGAGTGCCTGCCTTCCCTGCTGCTGCATGCAGCAGCAAAGAGCACCAGACAGAAGCCGCCAAGCAGCAGGAGGTGCAGCACATTCAAGGCCGTGTAGAGAAGCAGCAGCAGGTTCTGCTGTATCTGCTGCTGCTTCTGCTGCTGTTGCTGCTGCTGCTGCTACAGCTTCCCGCATCCTCTCCCATGCTTCCCGCTGCGTGCTGCTGTCTGCTGCTGCCACCAGCAGCAGCGCATCTGCTAGTCTCTCTAAGTTGCTGCCTTCATCTTCCTCCATAGACTCTGCTGCTGCTGCTGCTGCTGCTGTCGCTGCTGCTGCTGTTGCTGTTCCTGCTGCTGCATTTAAAAAGCGCTGCTGCAGGACATCAACAAGTGGCAGCGCAGCAACAGCTTCTCCTACTGCTGCTGCTGCTGCTGTAGGATCTACCTGGTTGGAGAGGAAGGGTGCTGCTGCTGCTGCTGCAAGATGTGCTGCAGCAGCAGGAGCAGCAGGAGCAGCAGCAGCTACAACTCCTTTTGCTGCTGCTGCTATTGGCTTAAAATAAAATACCTCAAAGTTTCTTATTGCTGCAGATGCAGCAAATGGATCCCCACGTTGCCTCCTTTTACCACTTGCAGAAGCAGCAGCAGCAGCAGCAGCAGCAGGAGCAGCAGCAGGAGCAGCAGGAGCAGCAGGAAGAATCCCTCTCCTCCCTCGCACCAAGCTCCGTCTGCTGGTGCTGCTGCTAGACAGCTTACGTACCGGGGAAGAGTTCCTGCTGCTGCTGTCCGAGCTGCTGTCACTGCTGCAGCTGTTGCTGCTGTTGCTGCTGCTCTCTCGTGTTGGACTGCTGCTGCTGCTGCTGTTGTTGTTGTTGCTTTTGTACTTGCTGCATACTCGAAGCTGCTGCAGCGGCAGCCTGGCAGAAAGGCTCTTCATTGTTGCTGCTGTTGCAGTTGCTGCTGCCGTTGCTGCTGGCGTTGCTGCTGCAGTTGCTGCTGCAGTTGCTGCTGCAGTTGCTGCTGGCGTTGCTGCTGCAGTTGCCGATACTTGCAGGCCTGCTGCTGCATGCTGATGGCACCATTACATGCCTTTATTTCTTCTGCATGCATCTCAGCTGCTGCTGTTGCTGCTGTTACTGCTGTCGCTCCTGTTGTTGCTGCTGCTGCTGCTGCCATTAGAACATCAAGGCGGGAGGCACGACTGGATGACCCCCCAGAGGCTGCCCATCTTAGGGCTGGCGGTGGAGCAGCAGGAACAGCAGCAGCAGCAGCAGGTGCTGCTGCTGCTGATATAGCTACAGCTGCTAATGCTGCTGCTGCCCGCACTGGAAGCGTTCCAGCTGCTGCACGAGCAGCAGCAGCAGCAGCAGCAGCAGCAACAGCAGCAACAGCAGCAGGTGGCTGGTGACTGTGGCCAATATTAGAAAGACTAGATGCTGCTGTTGAGTTTAAAAACAAAAAAAGAGACAAACAGGAAAAAGAGCAGCAGCAGCAGCAGCAACAGCAGCAGCAGCAGCAGCAGCAGCAAGTTGGACCTTTTGAGTGGCGCTCGAGGGGCCCGTGCCTCTTATAAGGTGGGGTTGTTGTGTGTTTATTAGTTGTCTCCTTATAAAGGAGACAATAAATAAATAAATAAATAATAATTAATTTAATTAATTAATTATATTTAATTAATTATATATAATTAAATAAATAATTATTTTTATATAAAAGGAGACAGTGTGTTTATTATAATAAAATGGTGGGGTTGGAGACACCTAAGGAAGAAGGAGACAATAAAAAAAAAAAATAAATAAAAAAAAAAAGAAAGAATAAATAGACAAAAGGGGACAATAAGAAGACAATAAGGAGGGACAATAAGGAGACAATAAGAAAAGAAATAAGGAGACAGCAAGGAGACAATAAGGAGGCAATAAGAAGACAATAAGGAGAGAAAATAAGGAGTCAATAAGGAGACAGCACAGAGGAGACAATAAGGGGGGAAATTTATACATAAAAAGAGACACAAAGAGAAGGAGAAAAGGAAGAGACAAACAGAGCAAAAAGGAGACAATAAAAGGAAAGAAAAGAGACAAAAAAAGAGACAAAAAGGAGACAATTACTGCCTTATTGTTTCTTTTTTATAAGAAAAGAACAATAAAAGAAAATCCCTATGCATGCAAAATTAGGGTTTAGGGTTTAGGGTTCATAACAAAACAAAATAATAAAGAAATATAAACAACAAGAGGTACTGTACCCTCCTCTTAGGGGGGCCCCCCTAAAAGGGGACAAACAAAATTATAAAGATACCTCCACACCACCTATGTGGGGCCCCTTTGGGGGCCCCTTGAGGGGGGCCCCCAAAGGGGCCCCTCTTTGGAAACGGGTATTAATGAGGGGCCCCTATGAGAGGGTACCCAAGGGGCGGCCATCCCTAAGAAAGGTTAGTAACTATTAGGGGCCCTCCTGTGTAGCTAAGACAGGGTAGTACCCAAAAGGAGGCCACTATGAGTAGGTAGTTAGTACCCAAAGGGGCCCCTCTAAGCGGGGTAATTAGTACCCACAGGGGCCCTCCCTAAGAGGGAGGAGTACCCTACTGTGGAATTATAGGTATTCAAGTGGGGGCCCCCCAGGAGAGAAGCCAAGGAGACAGGAAGTTAGTAGGGTCCCCCCAAGGGGAAAGGAGAGAGTTATTAGAGGGACCCCAAGGGGACAAAGAACTATTATTAGTCGGGGGTGGGGCCCCCAAGTAGAAAGGGGGGCCCCCCAAGAAAGGGTACTAATTTATTATTGCTGCTTAGGTGGTGCGTCAGCCTCAATTGCCTCCAAAGAAGTGTCTCCTTTTTCTTGATCATTTAATTCAGAGAACATAAATTCCCTCTGGTACTCCTGTATAATAAAGAAGAAAAAGGAGACAATAAAGGAGACACTTGCTGCACCTGCTGCTACTGCTGCTGCTGCTGCTGCTGCTGCAGCAGATGCAGCAGCAGCAAGCAGATAACATCAACAAAAAGAGACAAAAAAATCACGAATTAAAAAAAACGTAAAAATAACAAAAATAGGAAAATAAATAAATAAATAAAATAAATAAATAAACAAATAAAATAAATAAATAAATAAATAAATAAAATAAATAAATAAATAAATAAATAAATAAGGAGAATAACATACCAATAAATATTGTGTACTTCTCTTAACATCAAGAAAAAGAGAATAAGATACATCAATAAAGAGAGAAGAAAAAGGAGAAAAAAATAAATAAATAAATAAATAAATAAAATAAATAAATAAATAAATAAATAAATAAATAAATAACTTACTAGTAGATATTGAGTACTCCTCTTAACATCAAGGAAAAGAGAATAAGCTTTTCTTACATCTTGTATATTAATAATATTATTTTTTCTTCTTTTTGCTATTAAAAAGGAGACACTTAATAAATGTAATGAATAACGAAGGGACACCTCTATACCTATACGGCATATTAATTGTATAGATTCTTCATCTATATTTATATCTTCTTCTTCTGCACGTAATTCTATTATCTGTATACATATATACAATAAATAATTATAATTAATTAATTTTATTTATTTATTTTATTTATTTATTTATTTATTTATTTTATTTAGTTAATTAGGTATTTAATTATGTATAATTATATATATTATAATGTACATATATTCATTGCTACTTCTGGTGCTGTTCTACTGCTACTGCTGCTGCTGCTGCAGTTGCTGCTGCTGCTGCTGCAGTTGCTGCTGCTGCTGCTGTTGCTGCTGCTGCTGCTGCTGCTGCTGGAGTACGTACCTGTCTCATTTCTTGTTCAGTATAAGGAAGAGTAGGTATAATAAGAGTTCTATCTAATAGATCTAATGGTATACCATGAGGAGATTTATAGTCTGTCCCTCTTATTCTTGTTATTCCTCTATTTGTTGCCATTACTACTATTGGCGCTGCCTCGCTCTCTAATGCCCTAAATACATATACATATACATATACATATACGTATACGTATACGTATACGTATATGTACGTACATATACATATTCATATACATATACATATACATATGCGTA